CCCTAGGGTAGAGCTTTTGCTTAGACAGCAGGAAGAGCTACCCTTAGAAGCACAGAACCGGATCTCACTCGTAGAAAGTCTACAGTCTGATGCCCAGGACAATCCAGAAGGCGCCGCTCGAAATCCGGCGTTCCATGATTACCTGATGGAACACTGCGCACTCTGCGGTCAGGTCCTCGTAGGCCAGAAAGGAGCCAAACAGCATTTAAACAAGCAGCATCCTGAGGTGATGGCCAAGCTGGAGAAAACTCTCCAACCAAGACTCAATCAATTCAAGGTCTTCTTCCACAAAGGAGATAGCTGTCGATACTGCAAACTTCGTGTGGATGCCCCGGGTAGACATGCTCAGCAGTGCGTTCCATTACTGCAGGTGCACGTACTGCAGGAGGTAGCGCGCCAGCAGCTCAGCAAGCAGCCCCGCGAATATACTCGAGCAAAGTCCACGGCATCGGCGAAGACAGTCACAAAGAAGCCTTCAGATTCAACGCCAGGAATTCCTCACCCCGTGTTTAGACTGGAAGGCTTTCTCCTGCTAGCCAATACTCGCAACCACTGCTATGCCAACTCAGGTCTGCAGTGTCTCCACTGGCTATCAGATCCTTCAGAGGCGACTTTTCAAGAGGCATCCCGGATCAGTCAGCTTGCGAGAATAACCCCTGAACACAGAGTCTTCTCGGAGCTCACCATGGGCTGGCTCTTTGACGGAGGCCAGCACGACTCTGCTGAGTTCCTGCAGCAAGTGTTTCGGAATCTCTCTGCATCAAGATTTGGACAGTGGGAAACTAGAGCCTCAGTACCGGAAGGCGTGATAGTGGACGAAGAAGGGGGCTCTCCCATTCATCTTGCCACGGCGATCAAGACCAACTTACAGGACATGCTAGTGGCATGGTCGTCTCAGGAGCGCTCATGTGCTCTCATAGAAGCTGCACAGCAGGTGTGCTTAGCCTTGCCGAGATTCGCAGGTGAAGCTAAGGATCACACTCGCATCACAATCCCACAGCAAGTCCAGATCCCTGTCTTCCTGGACCACACATCCCGAGTTTCGTTCTGTACCTACACAGTAGAGGCAGTGATCATTCACCTAGGAATGGAGTCCACTAGTGGCCATTACCGTGCAGCTGTACGCACAGCAGATGCCTGGTATGTTGGTGATGACTCCCACCCCCCTAGTCCCTGTACCCTCGAAGATCCCCTGCTTCAAGAAAATAGCTACGTCATCTTCCTAGCTCGCAGCGCCGTCTCTCACGAGCCCCAGGACGTAGCCAATTTCCCGAGTAATGTCTCTGCAAGAGCTCTTCCAGCGAGCATCGATGGATGAGAGCTCTGCCCCTAAACGGGGAGACGCAGGTCCGTCAGGTGGAGATTCTCCCCTGAAGCGACAGCGTGGTGGAGGTACTCCCCAGCAACGAGGCAGAGGACAACCCTCCCTTAGGAGGAGACTCTCCCCAACAATCGGAGGAGTTTCTCCCCTTGCCATGTGTGTACAGCTGGTGGAGTTTCTCCCCAGGGGTTTTTAAACAGTAGGAGAGCATCAGGTGGCAGCCGGTTAGCTTTCAGCAAGTGCCGAAATCGTAACTCGCATAAGACTCTGAAGACACATTCACTTCCCACTTCACAGCTTGCAGCCTTGAGGGGCGGAGCGTGCGCAAGTGCAGTGTTGAGGCACGGCTTGCCGTGAAGAGTGACCGCGCAAGTAGTAAGCAGGGCACTAGGTCGATCCCTCGCAAAGCGTGGACGAAAAGTTTCACCACAGACAGTCCTCCCCCGCTGCGTGTGAATGAAATGCTGCTGCTGCTGCTGCTGCTGCTTTTCATGGCAAGCCCGCCCCACACTGATTCAGGCTAGCAGGCACTCGTTTGGGACTTTCGGATGTTCGGGATCCCTGGTGTTGCAATGCGCAGGGTCAGTTCGAGGGATATCATCGTATCGTTTCCACATGAAAGCAGGTAAATTGTATACTTATAAGTACCCATGAACCTCCAAGTAGACAGGACACGAGATGTCAGAATGTCTGGTCTGGCAGGAAAACAGATTGGGCCCGACTCGAAACTGCTATCTACTATACTCACTTCAACAAGCTTACGAGAAAATCATAATAACAATCAGAATATCAATAGTAGTATTAATAATAATAGTAATAACAATAGTAATAAATATAAAAGTAGTAATAATAGTAATTGTAATAACAATAGTATTAATTATATGGGCTGGTGCCTTAAAGCATCGCTTGACGAATCTGTGGGCCTGTGAGTCCTTGTGGGCCTGGGCCTAGAGTTCGAAACCAAGCCTTCTCCCCACAACCTGAAACCGGGTTTAGGGTTTAGGGTTTAGGGACTGGCAACCCTGAGCCCTTACAGAAAAAAACGCTACAAACAGTAAATCACTTAAGTTACTAAGCGCTGTAGAAGCCTGAAGAAAACCAAACTCGAAACGGCAAAGCACCTAAACCCTAAACGCTAAACGTCCAAGCCCTAAACCCTTAGATTCTAAATTCTTAAACCCTAAATCCCTAAACTCTACGCGTCTCGTACCTTAAATCCTTAGACCCTAAATCCCGAAACCCGAAACTCTAAACTCTAAACACTGAACGCTGCAATGAACCCCAGAAAGTTGGAACATGGATTCAGGATGATCCATGCTTGGATTCCCTATACGTCACCTCAAAGGCATGAGGATAATGATGTTCCAACTTTCCGGCTTCTACTATACTTGGGAGGTTCATGGGTAGTTATACGTAGGGTGATAAGTAGGGTAACTATACTTATAACCCATATTAAGGAACTTTTAACCCCACTTATAACTACCTCCCTGAACCTCCAAGCCTATACCCTTATAGAATCCCTATAAGGTAAAAGCTAGAAATTTGGAATATGATTATCCTAACCCTTCTATGGTAAACTATAGTGTATCCTACCATGAAACCATATTCCAACTTTCTGGAGTTCCCTGTAGACCCTTAAAGGAACCCCACTTATAACTGGCCCTGAACCCCCCCTAGTACAGCTTGGCCAGGCCCCAGGGCGCTGCAGCGGCTCGAAGGCCTTCGAGCCCTGCGAAGCTTTGCCTTAGAAGTTTAGGGTTTAGGGTTTAGGGTTTTGGAACCCTTATAGATCCCTGTAAGGAACCTTTATAGGGGTCTATTCCTTAGAAGGGGCCCCCACCCTGCAATAGTGAATAGTGGTACAATAGGAGTATAACAGGGCCCTAATATGATCCTTATAGTCGCTATTACAGGGTCGTGTCCGATTTTTTCGGCTTTGGGGTGAGTGGGGAGTGTAGGGGCCTTAACCAAAAGGCTCCTTTATAGTACAGCTATGATCGTGAGCCCTAAGGGAAAAGTTTCCAGATCAGGGCTACAGCTTCAGGGCAAGCGGATGTCGTGGTGCCCTAAACCTTGACTTTTTGGTTAGTATTAAAGAGACTCTTTTTTAAAGGAATATGCCTCAAATCGTATAAGCTAAACCCTGAACCCTAAGCAAGAAGTCCTGAACTCGTGACGTTCGTGCACTCCGACCCCGAGGTTTGAGAGGATACGGTTGATGATGTAAATCCTGCATTACCTCAAGGACCCTAAACTATGGGAATTATGGTATATTCCTCATTATGGGTGATGCAGGATTTATATTATCAACCGTATCACCCGCCCATGCGGAGGAACAGATTTCAGATTCTGGCCTGCGCCCTGATAGCTCGAGCCGACAAGCTTTCCATGGAACTGCAAACAGTCCCTAAACCCTAAACCCCTAAACCCTAAGCCCCTAAACCCTAAACCTTAAACCCCTAAACCCAAGGCCGAGGCGAAGAAAAAATAAGATGCCTGGAAAAAGATGCCTGGAAAAGGGCAAGGTCAGGACATATCGGTGGATATCGGCGGCCTCAAGTGGCAGGGGTGTGCAGAGAGAGAGAGAGAGAGAGAGAGAGAGTGCTTGTGAGAGAGAGAGCGCAATGCGAATAAGCACAACCAGCTGCGTGATGCGTTGTGCCGTCCTCTCCCTATCTGTCCCTGGTTTGGTCCCAGCTTTGTCAGTGACTACTTTCTTAGAAGTGTTTGCAGAGTGAGGCGCCCTCGCAATAGTCCTGATGCGCCTGAGCCTGATGCTGTTTGCGGTGTTGTGCTCTGGCTCTGTTCTGTTAGCGCTAGGCAGGGGCAAGAGCACAGAGTATGGTGGTGGGTCCGGCTCCAGTTCAAACCCTCAATGTAAGGGCAAGGGTAAAGGCACTACCCAGCACGGCGGAGCGAGCTCCAGTACAGACCCACAGCCTAGCCCAAACACAAACCCTCACACGGCGGAGCGAGCTCCAGTACAGACCCACAGCCTAGCCCAAACACACAGTATGGGGGGTCTAGTTCTAGCGCGACCGTTAAGGGCAAGGGCAAAGGGTGCAACCAAAGCACCCAAACGGAAGAGGCGCAATGCATCATATCAATGAGATTGTGAGGTTGAGCCATTGGTGACGGTGGGTTTGCTTTGGAGGAAATGTGGATCCAGAACATGGATGTACGGTGGTCCTCAGGCCGACAGCTCTCTCTCACGACGTAGTATGTACAGTGGCTCAAACCCCAAACCAGAACCGACCCACTTAGGCCGCTAAGGTGAAGCTGCCAGCTGAGCAGCGGCCCAAGTAACTGCGTTCGCGGAAGTTCACAAAGCCCCACCCTAAAACCCCATTCGTGTAACTAAGTCCGACCTGTATCTCATGAAACTTTTCATTGAACACTTTCCACCGCGCAGCCGTGAAGCTTCCCCTGTGGAACCTCAACTTGCAGGCACCTGTAAGTACTAACGGTGAACCTAGAGCCCGAGCCTGCCAAGACCGCCTGCCTCACAGCTCTCAGTCTTCCAGGGCATGCAGAAAGTGAAGACCAGCATGCAGCTCGACATCGGCAAGACCGGCAACGCTACCCCTTCGAGCGACGTAACAGCGAGACGGAGGCCGAAAAACAGCCACTCTCCGACGAGAACCTCGGCAAACACGTGGGCCATCTACCAGATGGGTAGATGCTCGACTCCGAGATGCACTACGAGCGGAAATACCCGACCCTCCCCGGCGCCAACAACAGCCGCTACATTCCGAACTGCCCCTTCAACACGATCCACCGCGAGGACCACGGCACGACCCGCCCGAAGGTCATCAGCAAGCTGCACGGCGAGATCAACAGCAGGACATGGCTGACAGCACGACGCAAGACCGGCACACGCAAACCCATGCCGGGCGAGTTCTGCAACACGGCTACCAGCCGGGACCACGACGTGACCCTCCCGCAGACAGCCTGCACATATGGCGGCCGGATCAGCGAGAATCAATGCATAGCCTGCCCAAAGATCAAGGAGCTCAACACCCTGCAGCTCGACAGCCAAGTGATCCGCTACCCGCCCTACTACACGATCCGCCCGAAGACCTCCGGAGCGAAGCACGCCGGAAAAACCGGCGAGGACCGGACCCAGGCCCGCGGGGAGGAAAAGTGCCACTACATGCCAACGACCGCTACAGCGAGATCCACCGCAAGGACCGAGGCACGACCCTCCTGAAGAACACCGCCTAACCGCCCGCCGAGACCGTGAACGAGCACCCGACCATGATCCACCGCAAGATCCGGGAGCACAACTACATGCTGAGCAAGCCCTACGACAAGAAGCCGAACAACAAGCCACCGCGAATGGAGATGAAGAAGCCAGCTTCTTGGGCCTGAGGCCTCTGCTCATCACTGTCCTGCCAGCGGCGGCGTTCGACGAGCCCTTCCTGGCGCACGACGCACCCAGATGGTTTTGGCCCCTCTTGGACCCGGGATCATCATTGGTCCGCAGGGCATGCGAGCCCGAACCCTCGCCCTGGCCCTGGAGCGCGCGTTCCAGGCCATCGAGGACCCCGGCTACATGGAAGATACCGAACTCATTCGGAACCATTTTGGCAGAGCCTGGTTCCGACATTGGCAGAGGCGACAAACCCCGGACAGCACAGACGCACGCCTCGACCAGCACGCCCAACACCTCGTGGATGAGATCGCCTACGTGGTCCACCTGGCATGGTGGCGGGAGGGAACGATGACTTCGCACGGCCAGCCAATGCGAAGATGCGGATGCCTGGACATGGACTGGGAAGACGACGACGACACTTCAAACAGTGAGGATACCGCCTCAGAACACAGCCGCTCGAGAAGCCGATCCCCTCCACCCTTGACAACAGCTGAGCGCGATAGACTCTACAATTATCGACATCATGCCGAACGACCCCCACGACCTGGAGGAGCCCACATCCACAATGCCTCCGCAAGCTGCTCAGGCAACGCACTATGGAAGTGGCAGGGCCAAACGACTTCACCGCCGACGCCTCCTACGCCCACACCCTGGACTATGACTTCGAGCACACCCGGCGACTCCACAACCGACGGGTACATCGACACGGAGGAGACATGGCTCATGGCGGACAGAGCCAAGATCCCGGCAAACAAGAGGAGCCCCACGAGGCTCTGGAAGGAGTTGCCGGAGAGCCGCAAGAGCTCTAGCACATGCGTCCTGCGACCACCATGGAAGAGGCAGAATAATCCACCACTCAAACCGAGACCACCGAGCCAGTCACCGCCAAAATGCCGACCCGGGCCAAAGAAGAGGCCGCAGCCACGTGGAGGCGAAGTAGCAGCCCCAGCGACTCCTCCCACGGCACCGACTGACCACCCAGAGGAGTCCGAGGAAATCAGCCGGGACGATGCGGTGGCCATATGGCAATCGCTTCTGGAAATGGAGTCGCACGAAGCTCTGGCTCCAGCCGAAGTGCCGGTACTCCCGGCGCTTGCTGCCGACAACATCGTCGAAACCCTGGTGGACAAGCCGGAGCCGGTGCACAATGCCCTACTTGATGCCTTGCCATACTTCTTAGGCCGCCTCCAGGTTGACATAGCGGATGCCGTCGATCGCGCCAGAAAACTCCGACAGCAAATGAAGGAGGGCACGGATGGAGGAGCCTCAGCGAGCACTGCGGCGCCCCGCCAAAGACCACCACCGAGTGCCTATGAGACGGAGGAGGACGGGAACGAGGACGACGAGAACATCTACATGCAGACATCTATGAGCTCAAAGGCAAAGACACCTGACACGGTGAGCTCCTCGACGCCCAAATCTGATCCTCCTCCAACTGGAACGTGCTTTCGGAGCACTCTCGCCGAAAACAGCGGCAAGCCGTGCCATCAAGATGATGTCCCTGCTTCAAGAACATGATGGTCCGCTCCTTGCCGACCGGGCCCAATTTGAATCGCTCTTTGTTGCCTACTGTGACGAAGTTCCTGAAGCACCTGAAGCAGACGCCCTCATCCTGGAAAGTGCATGGGTAACAACATGGTGGCGACGCATATGTGGTTACCCAGAGCTCAGCAACGAGGACATTGACAAGGCCATGGAAGACATGGAGGAGCCCGACGACCGCCTTGATCGCCAAGCGCAGGAAGCGCACGAGAACGCCATGGAAGCGCAGTACATCCAGCACCTTCAAGAAGCAGCTGCCAAGCATACAGGAACCCTCCTAGCGGAGCAGGCCAAAGAACAAGACGCCAAGGTGATCGACGCGGCAGGTGGATGGAGCTGGCGCCCGCCGAGCAAACGCTTGAGGATCGGCGTATGCATAGATGATGGAACAAAGTCGCAAGCCTGGGATTGGGAATTGGATGCAGGCCACACCTTCCAGCTGCATGTGAAGGCCAGCAAACTGGACGAACCCGGAACCTGGCTACATCGCGGAGTACCAGCCCCTCTACAACATGTACCACCTGAGCTCCGAGATCCTCCACGTCCACCAGCACCACTTGCACCTAGGGCTCCCCGGACCTATGACCTCCACCGACCAGCAACGCGCGAGCTCTTTCGCCGTTGGAAGGAGGGGCTCATCTCGGACCAATCGGTTGTGTCGGCCAGCGACACAGGGATGCTCAACTTTTTCCGCGGAGTGGCCGACATCCCGCCAGAAGTCTTTGAGGAATTGGACAACCTCGACACCTTCAGCCTCCAGGCACCCCAAGAAGCAGGTGAACAACAAGCCGCAGCATCCACATCCTCGCCAGCCGGGCAAACAGCGGAGAACACCATCGACACCGCCGACCGCGAGACCGTCCTACTGCCGCCGACTCCCAACACCCTTGCACCGGCCCTCGACATGCAGTTGCAACAAGAAGACGGGGATGCACAGTCGAACCCAGATCTTTATTACAATAGCTGCCGCTGGCTCGAAGAACATGGAGCAGTACCAGATGGTGCCGAACGTGACGATCGCAGTGACTCTGCAGACTAAGGCTGTAGATAGTGCCTGCCCCTGACATGGAAGTTCTACCCTCACCATAATCTTTGTGCTCAGTTCTGCTGCTGTCACCAGGGGTGGACACAATTCTGCTACTGTACAGGCCGTCCTTGCAAGAAAGACTTGCGCAGCACATGTTACAGCAGTGCCAGCGGAAATACATTCATGGTAGGGTCGGCTTCTTCCCTAGCATAGGTTGATGCTAACAGCACAGAATGCGATCACGGCAAAGACATCCTGGAACCAAGTAGTTATCTTGCTGTATGGCTAGTTGGTGATCAGAAGCTGTGCGAGCTGGCGTGAAGCAACCTGGTGCTATGTAGAACACCTGCATGGCACACCTGGTGCGGGGCCTCAGAGTGACGAGTTGGTCGTCCCTTCCTTATTATAACTATATCCTATCCCCAAACTGAGGCCCCAACCACAGGCTCCTCCTGGTAAAGGAATTCTAGCTTCTGGACAGATGGAAAAGAGCCCACACAAAAAAAAAACCTCAACCCGTAAACCCTAAACCCTAAACTTCACCGAAAACTCCGACCCCGCGAGCCCTCGAACTCCAAAGTCGCAGGTGCGGCACACCCTCAGCTCGAAAATTGAGATCCCCAAAAAATGTAAGCCCCTAAACCTCTAAACCCAAAAAGCCGCCAAGGAGAACTTCCAGATCTTCTAGCAGGGAATAGCGCCACAGCAAGGCCCCAGAACCTCGATGTCATGGATGTTGCCTTTCAGGGGAGTTGAAGGTTTAGTGTTCGCGGTTATAGGGTTTCAGGTTCGGGTTTGCGTTAGCAGGTACTTTTGAGAAGCAATTATTTTTGAACGTTAGCACGCAGAGAAGCTTAGATACTGTCAGACAATGATGACGTTTCTTCTCCAACATTCTGCATTACTTCATAGAGCAACATTTTCCTTTAGCAACCTGATCTGATTCTAGATCCCCCTGCCTCCAGAACTTTTCATCAGCCTCGCAAGGGACCAAGTCCCAAAGAGCTTCACAAAACGGGGCTTCAATGTGTTTGTGTAGGGCTCAGTGCGGTAAGGGTGTAGCCGGTTTTTTGTTAAGGTTTCTCAGGGCCTTGGAGCTTTCGGTTCAGAAATTTAAGTTCAAGTCTGGGCGCCATTGAGAAGCGCAGGACCTGTGCATCAAAAACGTATCAGCCTTTCAGAAGCGCAAGTCCCGGAAGGCACTTCGAGCACGATCGCCCTAGACGCCCCAGAACCAAAGCAACTAAACTCTAAACCCTCAAACCCCAAACCCTCAAACCCTGAACCCTAAACCCCCAAACCCCAAACCCTAAGCCCCTAAATTCCTAAACCCCAAACCCTTAAACCCTTAAACCCTAAACCCTAAACCCCCAAACCCCAAGCCCTCAGCCCCTAAATTCGTAAACCCCAAACCCTTAAACCCTAAAGCCTAAACCCCCAGCCCCTAAAATTCCTAAACCCCAAACCCTTAAACTCCAAACCCTAAACCCCCAAACCCCAAGCCCCCAGCCCCTAAATTCCTAAACCCCAAACCCTTAAACCCTAAACCCTAAACCCCCAAACCCCAAACCCTCAGCCCCTAAATTCCTAAACCCCAAACCCTGACCCCTTACCGTGGCAGGAACCTCGGGGCCTGCAGTCGCAACTGGTTCTGCCGTGTACGGGAGTCGCTGCTGGGCGGTGCTTCGGCCCTGTCTCAGTTCCTTTTAAAGGGATCTATAAGGGTTAGGGTTTAGGGTTTTAGGGTTCCTTTACAGGGATCTAGAAGGAGTACCATAAGGGTTCAGGTTTTTTTTTTGCAGTTTTGCAGAGTTGAGGGGTTGTCTAGGGTTTCTGGGAGTTTAGTTAGAAGTGTTTTTGGGCTTTGGGGGGAGTTTAGGAAGGATGTTCAGGGTTCGGGGTTTGGGCCAGAGGCCAGTAGAAGAAGGTGCTGAGCTTCGGGAGATTTATGAGGATGCGCAAACAGGGGCCGAATTCTGCTCTACTTGGAGGCTCATGGGTAGTTGTAAGTAGGGTTATAAGTAGGGTAACTATACTTACAACCCATATGAGGGGACTTCTGAGCCCATGTATTTCTACCCCTGAACCTCCAAGTACCTTCATCTACGGGACTGCAAGGCACTCTGCCTCTGCTTATGAGCTCCAGGTTTCTGTAAACCTCGGAACCAAAGCAGGACCATCACCACCAGCACGACGACGACGACTACTACTGCTACTACTACTACTACTACTACCACTACCACTACCACTACCACTAGTACTAGTACTACTACTACTACTACTACTACTACTATACTAGTACTAGTACTAGTACTAGTACTAGTACTAGTACGTACTAGTACTAGTACTAGTACTAGTACTACTAGTACTACTAGTACTAGTACTAGTACTACTACTACTACTACTAGTACTAGTACTACTACTACTACTACTAGTACTAGTACTAGTACTACTACTACTACTACTACTACTACTACTACTACTACTACTACTACTACTACTACTACTACTACTACTACTACTACTACTACTACTACTACTACTACTACTACTACTACTACTACTACTACTACTACTACTACTACTACTACTACGATCCTCGGTCCCAGAACCACTCCTACTTTCCCTGGTCTCTGACAGGGCTCGTGGCCCGGGTCGCCAGCGCGGCGAGCGTGCTGCGCCAGCGCGCCCCGCAGCTGAGCTCCTGGGAGATCGAGGTCCACTTTTTTTATATTTACGGAGGTTATTACCATTGGTATTTATATGAGAGTTATTGTTGTTGGTCTTCTTTTGTGATTCTTCTCATTAGTCTTGTTTTCTCAAGGGTTTTCAGGGGTTTGATCGGTTTTTTCAGAATGGTTGCTTTTCGTGTCACAGGGTTTGTATTGGGGTCTCTTCAGGCCCAGAGGATTTTCTAAAGGTTAAGGGTTTAGGGTTTAGGGTTTGGGAGGTTGTAGAACGGGGCTTTGTTAGTTCTTTATCTTTATAGGTTATAAGCGGTTCATGGGGGAAAAGGTCATGGGCTTGTGGCGGGCGGAAGGCTCGGACTCAGCACCTTTAGGGGCCTTAACAATTAGAATAGAGTTTTGGGGTATATTCTACTGCATTTATAATAAGGACACCCCCCTCCCCCAAATAATGAATAGTATGGGTAATTATTTGCAGATGCGAGCTCGGAAAGCCTCAACCTGGATTAGACTGAAAATCCGCAGCTGCGAACCTCCGCACCTGACCTCTAATCCGGAACGCTAAACCCCCCACCCGCAACCCTAAACCTGAATCCCTCAGAAGCCCGGGACCAATATTCGTGGAGAGGCAGCGCTGCCAGTGATGGAGAATGCTGCCAAGGATGTGTGGGAATGGCTATCGTGGCATCGCTGGTAGAAGAAAGTTTGTGCTCGGGCTCGTTAGTCATCAACATGATGTTCAGTAGATGCTGCCTTTTCGGGCGGCTGAAGAAGCTCACACTGCCAGGGTCTACAAAGTGCAGCTTCACGAAGTGCAGCTTTGGGAATTAAATCATTAAACAATCGCGGGATCATGAGGTTGCTTTCGACCGCGGATGCATGGATTTGCTGGCCTTCAGGACATCTGCGACTTGTGGCACCAGCTGCGGAACAAGCTTGAGATCCGCCTGCGCAGCGAGCGGTGGCGCAGCCTCGCGAAGGATCTCTCGGGGCCGGGTGGGGGCGCGGAAATCGAAAGCAGGGCACCGACAGCCTAATATAGGGGCCTTAATATTTAGAATAGGGTTTGGGGTATATTATAGTTTATCTATAATGTGGAACCCCCAAACCCTAGTCTAACTGTTAAGGCCCCTATAGTCTAGAGCTTCTGGATAGCTTCATTAATGGATGCAAAAGGGCTCTTGCGCATGTGGATAGGCCTCGGGGTGTGTTTATGACTGCATGGAGCCTATCAGAGGAGATGTCTCTCAGCGACGAGCTTGTGGAGAAGCTCGAGGTTATGCATGTCGAGACGCAGTCCTTTGGTGTTCCCGGCCTCACGGTTATACCGCCTCCACCGGTGCATCCGCCCCCCCCACCACCAGCTGCCGCCACAGCCGCTGCTCCTACCGGTGCAGCTCCTACCGGTGCAGCTCCTACAGCTGGGGCAGGCGCGGCTCCGCCGGCTATGCCTCCCATGCCTCCGATACCCAACATCTTCGGATTGCCCATCCCCCTGCCAGTCCCAGCCGGGCCGGCGGGCGGTCCTGCCGCCATTCTCCCCGGCCAGCCTTCTCAGGTTCCTGGTGGGGCGGTGCCAATGGCTCCGATGCCCCCCGGCACTCTGCAAACCCCACTCATCCTGCCCATGCCCTTGGTGAATCCTGCGGGACCCCAAGCGGCCCCTGCAGCCCCCGCGGGCCCTGCCGGACCTGGCGTAGCCACGCCAGCCGTTGCGGCTGCCACCGCTATAGCTTCCAGTACAGCACAGCAGGTCGCCGGCGTGGTGCACCAGCTGATTAACCAAGTCATGCAGGCAGGTGCTTGAATACCCGTGTCGACAGCATGCCTTGGTGCGAACTGAACATCAGTGTGAGAGGTATCCTTGAACCTGTAATCTTCCACCTTCGCAGAGTTCTAGACACTGGCCAGGCTGGCCCCAATGGCGGAGCTGGAGGTGGCCGTGCCGACTTTGTGTTGCGTACTTCTGGGATCGATTCAAAACCCTACAGGAGCAAGGCGATGCGAAATTTCGGCTCTGGGGAGGCCTTGGGCTAGAAGCCCTAAACCTTAAATCGGAGGAACCCTAAACCCTAAACCCTTTAGGTTTTTGGGTTTAGGGTTTAGGGACCCTAAACGACTCCCGCCGTGCTCCCCCGATGCTCTTTTCGGACATAAGTAAAGCCCTGCCACCCGCTGCTACCCCTCCACCACACGATCCCCCCTACCCGAAACTGGACCCTATATAGTATGATATCACTACAGCATAAGATATTCCGTTTAGTTACAATGTAATATACCATGATCTCGTACAGCCGATTATTCATATATTGTTATTAAGTATGATATCATGCATTGTAATGTGCTAGAATTTTTCTGCTACAGTATACTGGGATCCCAAACCCTCAACTCTGGGAAATCCAGAGGCCCCGAAACCTTCGGAGCTCTTGCCCTCCTGGCTCACTTGGAGGGTTGGGGGACTTAGTAAGTAGGTAGTAAGTAGACGTATAAGCACCCTAAAAGGGACCCTAATTGGGGTTATGGTACTTATATAAGTCCCTAAAATAACCAGTTACTAAGTCCCCTAAGTCCCCTAAACCCTAAACCCTCATAGAATCCCTATAGATCCCTTTAAAGGGGCCCTTAAGGAACCCCTTATAGTTACTAAGTCCCCCGACCCTCCAAGCAGGCCCTCGTCGGTTTCGGGTTTTTTGTTTGAGGTCTACGGTATAGGGTTTAGGGTTCAATTCCAAGGATCCCTACACCTTGAGTCCTAAACCCTGCAGCCCTAAACCCTAAGCTCTAAATCCTAAACCCTAAGCCCTAAATCCTAAACCCTAAACCCTAAATCCTAAACCCTAAGCCCTCAACCCCAACCCAGCCCCGTAAGTCCTAGCAAGCCGCAAGCAGGCGCCGGAGCCGCCGGGCCTCCTCCGACAGGACCGCCCCCAGGCCCTGAAACCCGGAAAACCCCAAGCCCAGTGAGGTTTAGAGCTTAGGCTCTTCAGACTTTTAGGCCTTATATGGGTGGTTGCCAATATTAGGGTCCCTTATTGGGCCCCCAGTATAGTACGGCATCTAACATTAAAGGAACCATAATTTTGACAACCACCCATATACCGGGGTTTAAGCCCTTCGAGCTTTAGAGCTTTGGCTTTAGAGCTTCAAACTGGGTTTAGAGCTGTAGGGCTCAAGCCCTGAACCCTAAACCTTAAAGGAAACTCCAGAAAGTTGGAATATGGATTAATGGTAGGATCCCCTATAATTTACCTTGAAGGGGTTACGATAATGATATTCCAACTTTCTGGCTTCTACTGGACCCTACACCCCGGTCCTGAGATGCCCCAAGCCCTGTGACCCGAAACTCCCAGCAACGAAGGGCTGGAAGTCGATACGGGAGTTTCCGAAAATGAGGGGTTGGTTCCTTTAAAGGGATACTATAAGGGTACGATAAGGGTTCCTTAAAGGGGCTGTATAAGGGTTTAGAGTTTCCGAAAATGAGGGGTAGCTTATGTTGGGGTCCTTATAATAAGGATCCTATTATTTAGGATACCATATTAGGGTCCCCTATTTTCGGAAACTCCCATATGGAGGAGCCTCATGTAGGGGATGCTACAAGGGGCTACAACGCGCCTTGCTATAAGAGTCCGCGTTAGTATAAGGATTATTTTATAAGCGTTGTGCGCTTCTTCAGTGGCACTGGAACCTGAACCCTGTAATTCTTAATGGCAAACCTTGAAATCTAGCACGTAAGCCTTTATGAATGCAAAGAAAGAGTATCCTGAACCCTTCTTAAACCACCAAGCTCCCTGCCAGTGGCCCTGCAAGCCCTGAACCAACTCTTCAAGGAACACTTATGATTCCTTTAAAACCCTTACCCTAGACGATAAAGCCTAAACCCTAAACCCAAACACCCTTAGCCCTAGACCCCAAGCCCAAAGCCCCAAACCCTAAGCCCAAAATCCTCAACCCCAAGCCCTGAACCGTAAACCAGAAGCCCTAAGCCCTAAGCCCTAAACCCTGTGTCAGAAGTGAGAGAGGGTCTAGTCACCGCCTTCCACAATGTGGATTGCACCGGCCTTAACTGCTAGGAGCAAAAAGGCGTTCAAAAAAAACAAACCCTCAACCCTTCCTTTTGAAGCCCTTTCGTGAAGCCCGTCGGAGAACCAGAAGCCCTAAGCCCTAAGCCCTAAACCCTCAAAACCCTTCCTGTTGAAAATTAGAATAGGTTTTGGGGCCCACTATACTATAATTATAATATTAAACTAGAATTAGAATATTCAATTATGATTATAATATTAAACTATGATTATATTAAGCCCTTCAGAAGCCCGTCGGAGGCCTCGGAGGGTTACGGGACAGCCTGCGCCTGAACGTCATCCGCGCACCTGGGGCTCGAAGATGTCTTTCGAGGGAGGAGAAGGGGAACTGTAAGGTAAGGGATCCCGACTAGGATGCCCAGTAGTACCCTTATTCCCTTTTTGTAGTCCTAGGTTCCTTATAAAGTTACCCAATACCAAAAAGAGAGGCCTTTTTATTCTTAGGTTACTGGGTATCCTAGCCGAATTAAGGGTTCTATATCGGGATCTGGGAACTGTATTGCATCCCGTAAGGGTTCTTTAAGGGATCTATAGGGGATGTAGAAGGGATTTTCAGGGATCTATACGGTTTTATCTGGGATCTACAAGGGCTCTATAAAGGCTTCGGGTTTGGGGCTCGAAGGCTTTGAGGGTAGGGTTTAGGATTTCGATTCAAGAAGGTCGAAGGCGGCTTAGATCTTAGGGTCGTAGGCCTTTCATACAGTTATCAGGCCTTAGCTTCGAGCTGCTTCTGATTTAGCTGAAAGTCAGCCTCAAGCCGAAACCCGACGAGGTTCTCTGAGTTTCCAGCCGTTGGGGCCTCTCTGGCGTGCTGACAGAAAGAATGGTCCTAGTCACAAGGCAAGTCGAAGCCGTAAAAAGGGCTTTGGGGATTAGGGAGTACCTGCAACAACCGAAACCCAAAACTCGAAACCTTAGACGCTGCACAAACTACGGTTGATGATATAAATCCTGCAACTACGGTAAGGGCCCTAAACTGTGGGAATTATGGTATAGTCCTGGTAATGCAGGATTTATATCATCAGCCGTATCACAGCAGGCCCACCGTGTCTTCCAGATACGGGTTCAGGGTGCAACATGTGCAGTCTAGGCTCTTCAGGACTGCGTTCAAGGCACAACCACGAGACGCAGTGGGAGCCCTAACCCCTAAACCCCTAAAGTCTAAACTCCTAAACCCTAAACCCCTAAACCCTAAACCCCTAAACCTTAAACCCTAAACCCCCAAAGCCCTGAACCCTCAACCGTCGGTCTTGGGTGGAAGCCCGGAGCCCTCCCCCGGGTTTTTGGGGCAGCTCCCGAAGAAAGCAAAGTTTTTGTTGGGGGCCAGCGGAACACCCCAAGACTCGGTGAAACTCGAATATGGGACTTTCCGAAAATTAGGGGTACCTTATTTTGGGGTCCTTAGAATAAGGATCCTACTATTTAGGGTACTACATTAGACCCCCTATTTTCGGAAACGCCTGCCAGCATGCCCCACTTGGCCTCTGTTTGAGGTGCTGCACTTCAGCCTGGGGGATCAAAGGACTCAGACTTGCTGTGGGGAGGTGAATTTGGGCATTTCAGGACCAGCCGAAGCGACACCGATGTCGCCCTAAACCCTAAACCCTAAACCCTAAACCCTAAACCGCATCACCGGCTTGAAGATGGGAGTGGCTTGTTGAAAATGCTTCCAGGTCCAACAGGCAGGCAAGGTGTTGAGGTGACATGTTGAAAAAGGATATCCCCGATATTGAACGAGAAGCACAAGTTTCTTCGCAGCCGCCTTCCTAAACCCCGAGCCCTAAACCCTAAACCCTAAACCCCAAACCCTAAACCCCAAACCCTAAACCCTAAATCCCAAACCCTAAACCCTAAATCCCAAACCCTAAACCCTAGATCCCAAACCCTAAACCCTAAATCCCAAACCCTGAACCCTAAATCCCAAACCCTGAACCCTAAACCTGATGGAGACTGCGTGGGGTCGACGGTTTCATGTTTTGTTAGGCTCTCTGGGTTTCAAGTCTGCGGTGTCAGGTGTCGGGCTGACTTAGAGTGCTTCTTTGTCCCTAGGCTCTCGGGTTTAGGGATCAGGGTTTAGGATTTAGGGAGCCCGGGTTCAGGGTTTAGGCTTCTAAAGCCCCACAGTTAACAGCCTATGCTTGATTCCGTGTCTTGTTCGCTTCTTGGGTTTTATGTTGTTCGCTCTTCGTATTTTATGTCAAAAATCAAACAAAAACTGCTATACACATTATTTTTGTACACAAAATTTATGTGCTTTTTATCAGTAATATGTATACACTCCCTTTTGTGCAACATAGTTCAGCGTGCTTCAATTAAATGAGTGAGCCGTGCATCCTACACTGCTAGAGCTGGCCATGCTCCCCGAACCAAAGCTGAAAGCCGTTTCTAAAGCCTACTTTAGGGGCTTAAATAAGTACCTATACTATTTTGGGGGTCCTACGAAGTGCCCATAAGTGGTGTAGGATGTTGGTTCCTCCTTTGGGTCCCGGGGGCTCGTTCTCTATTTAAAGGGATCTATAGGGATTCTATAAGTGTATAGGGTTGTTCAGGGCCTACTTGGAGGTTCATGGGTGCTTATAAGTAGGGTTATAAGTAGCGTGAACAGGGGATCTTTAAGCTTTTTTGGCCTTATATATTAAGCTCTATCTTACGAAGTTTGAGCTTTTTGAGGCCCGGCTGTTGAAGAAGAGAGTAACCCCAAACCATAAACCCCTAAACCCCTACCCCTAAAGCTCCAAGTACCCCTTGCTGGGACGAATCCTGGCAGGATCGCCGGGCGGCTGCACTTAGGGATCGAGTCGGAAGTGCAGAGAGAGACCCAGGTCCGGTTTTTTTTCGAGTTCGGGGAATTCCAGAGACCCCAGTATCCCTTAATTTAGGAATATACCTTAAATCATATAGGGATCATACTATAACTTAGGTTATACTCCTAAATTCAGGGATATTGGAGTCTCGTTTCCTTGCTTCAAGGGTTTCGGGCTCCAGGGCTTGGGGTCAGCCTGCGTCCATCCCTCTGGATCCATCGTGGCCCTATGGTGCAGGGCGACCGGACGACTTCCCCGGCACGTCCCGACATTCTCTGCGTAGAGGCTGGAGAGGGGACGGGATGTACATCGCAGAGGATTAGGGTGCAGAGGTTCATATTAGAAGAGCTCCTGCACATTTGTCTTCTGATTGTAATAGATGAGAGATGGGCTTCTTTAGGGTTGTTTCACTGCAGGTCTTCTGCTTTGAGGCTTTCTTCTGTGCATGCTTCGCGATGTTTTGCTAGTCTATGCAGGGTGGAAAGGATCTCCAGTCCATCGAACTAAAGACGAATTAAAGAGGCTTGGGGTATCAAGAGTGTTGGGGCCTTTTAAGACTTTTACGGCTTGAAGTGTGGTTGAGGGGTTTGCAGAGCTTTGAGGGGATTGAGGTCTTTCCAGAGCTTTCAGAGGCTTTCGGGGTTGGCTGGACTGCCTGGTGTCTATGTCTATTTAATTTCTTTTTCTTGTGAGTTCTGCAGGAATTTCAAGACCCTGAACCCCAAGCGCGAACCCGAGCCTACCCTAAGCCCTGAGCCGTGAATCCTAACGTCCGAAGCACTTCAGCAATTTTTTACCCTGGAAGGTAGAGCTCGCCACTGGTGACGACGCCTTTAAGCCCTTGGCGGCAGCCCACCGCTCCGCGGTTGAGCAATAGAGGGGGGCTTAATAATTACCTATACTATTTGGGGGCTTCTTAGTATGATTATAGTATCATAGGCCCAAAAAGCCCTATTCTAAGTATAAAGGCCCCTATAGTAGGCTTTGGTAAGCTTGACGGTGACCCAAAGCAGGGCTTAGGATTCAAGGTTTAGGGCTTCGGGCTTTGGGTTTTCTGCTGAAAGCAGCAAGTGCCCAAAATCCCCATAAATCCCAAAAGCCCCCATAACACCCTACAGCAGCAAGCCCACACACCCTTCTTCACCGCCAAACCCCAAACCCGAAACCATAACCCTAAACCCTAAACCCTAAACCCCTAAACCCCTAAACCCCAATAAACCCTAAACCCCTATAAACCCTAAACCCTGAACCCTAAACCCTAAACCTTCAACCCTAAACCCTAAACCCTAGGATCCCAAGCCCAGGAATGGTGCAGTTCTCGCCTCCGGGTGCGGACGGCAGCCGGTCGTTTGGTCCGTGGACCTGTACAGACAAGCGCGAGGTGGGTGTCATCGGGTTTAGGGGTTTAGGGGTTCAAGGGTTTAAGGGCTCAGGGGTTTAGGGTTTAGGCTTGTAGGGTCCAGGGGTTGGTAGTTAGTGTAGTTGTGATGGCTATTGCTGGTATTTTTTGCATTGTCAGTCCCATCACTGTGGTTGTTGCTATGTTGAGCGAGTGCTACAAAGGATCTGATGGCGAAAGGCATAGGAGAACTCACAGAGGTTTGCTCTATATTTGCTGTTTTTGGGGTCTTGTAATTTTTCACAGGCTGTTGTACCTGGACCCTAAAAAACCTACCTTTTTAAGGACTTATATACGGAAATCATAGTCAGGAACCCGAAAAAGGTAGGTTATTCAGGGTGAAGGTATGAGCTCACATGCAGTGTTGGGTTTGCCGGGTGAGTTGTCCCAGGCTTTCGCGGGTTGTTTTAGGCTCTTCGTGGACGGGTTCGACTTCTCCTTCTGTCCTCCATCTGGGAGTTTCCGAGAATTAGGGTACCTTACTTGGGGGTCCTTATAGTAAGGATCCTACTATTTAGGGTACTATATTAGGGTCCCTTGTTTTCGGAAACAACCATCTTGTTCAGTGGCAAGACGTGACTAGGCTTATGCATGATGGTATATAGTATATATCGCAAAGCTTTGAGGGCGATATCTTGTGAACCTTAAGCTTCATCTGGACCCTGAAATCTCAGAACCCTGCGCATTAGATCCTAAATCCCAAGCCCCTTGCCTAAACATGAATTCTGTAAACCGTAGACAATCTAGCCCTTATTGAACCTTTTAGCCCTTAAGCCGGAAACTTTAGGCTTAAACCGCAAACCTCAGGCTTAAAGCGGAAACCTTAGGCATGAACTGGAAACCTTGGGCCTCAAACCGGAAACCTTGGGCTTCAATGCGGAAACCTTGGGCTTCAAAGCCCACGAACCCTGAACCCAGTCGAGGTGGAGAGGCGTTGGCTTGAGATGCGCGCGAAGGCCCTGAACACCCCGGGGTCAGATTTCAGGCTCGCATTCTGCACTCAAACATTCTAAGGTTAGCAGTTTAGGAATTTGGGTTTGGGGAGCCTGACATCGGCGTTTCAGAAAACGATGGACCCGTATAGTCCTAATTTTAAGAAGACCCAATGCCCAGAAGGCTTCACTCACAAAACCCTGGCGGCTGCAAGAGAACACAATCTCCTAACTCCCTTGACCCTAAACCCCTCACGGTTCTACAACACCCTTCACCGTGAACCGTAAGCCAGTTCGGATCATGATTCGGCACCTGCCGCACATTTCGCATCGACCGAAGCTTTGCAAGGCCTTGGGTGTGCTCGGGCTGTCCCTTGAGCTGAAGCAGGCCCACTTTCCTGCCGGGCTTGCGGTGTAGGGTTCAGGGTTTAGGCTTTGTGGTTTTGGAGTATGTTATACTGCAGTTATGTTAGGGACTAGAAAGGAAAAGGGGCTTGTGGTTTCGGATTCAGGGTTTTCAAGGCTCAAAGTCTCAATGCACACTTCTTCGGAGGTGATCAGGATATTGCGGCTCTCTGGTGCACTCCAGACCTTCAGGTCGTTTGTGTCATTTCGGTTGCGGGGGCGGGAGCGACTGCTTGTTTGTTGAGTGCGGAGGCTTGCAATACAAGGAACCAAAGCAGCATCCGCGACTAGGGACCAGTGCACCAGTGCCACCAGCTGAGAATTGCTTGTTTTAAACCTACATGATGTAGGAAATGTAGGAAGAACTACCACGAACACTGTCCACACCCTGAATCGCCGAACCTGCTACTAAAGCCCAAACCCCACAAAAACTAAATCTCCAAGGAACACTAAACCCTAAACCCTGAACCCTAAACCCTAAACCATTAAGCACCCAAGTCTAGAACTCTGAAACTCAGCCCAAAAGCCCTTCAACCCCAGCCTCCCCGCTGGACCTGAAGCCAGAATCTCGGCATGGTCATTAGGGTTTGGGGTTTGGGGTTTAGGGAGTAAGGGTAGTGGTAACGGTAGTCGCGATGGTAAAAGTAAGGGTCAGTACTGGTGAAAGTGATAATGATCGTGTTTGTTAGTGATAGTGTTACTGATTATATATATATATAGTCGCAGTCTTAAGAGTAGTACGTCTGTCAGCACTAGTACCCATGTTGGCACCCGTCCTAGTGCAAGTATGAGCAGTTGCAATAGGAATAGGAATAACAACGCAATAATAACAATAATAATAATAATAATAATAATAATAAAAATAATAATAATAATAACGATAATAATGATAATAATAATACGGCCCAGTTCATGCGCCTGATGGCCGGTCTCTTGGGCGCAGCGTTGCTGGTGGAGCCGGCGGCCGGGTGAGAAGTGCTTGGGGTTCACTCTTTTTTCTTTAGATTTCTGTTGGTTTTAGAGTTTAGGGTTCGGGGCTTGGGGTTGAACATTTCTTGGGATTCGTTCTTGGGGCTGTGCATGAATGCAGGATCCGACTACTTGCCGAGGTTGCTTGGGCGTAGAAGGTTTAGGGCTGAGGCCGGGAGTCTCAGAAACATGATTTTACTTGTTATTCTGGCTGTTGCAGTTCTTCTGATGGTCTCGCATTTTAGGGTCGCTTTCTATGCAAAATATCTTTCAGAGCATACCAGACTCCAGACTGGTACGCATCTTTAGTACTTTTACAATAGCATGCCCTAAAACTCCATTCCAGTGGTTACGGTCCCCAGAGGAATTTCGAACCTGGAGCAAAGGTTTCCCACCGCCGCTTGTGGCAAGGGCTGAAGACGGTCTCTGGGCCAAGCCAGTCCGCACGCCTGAGGAGCGGGGGTTTAGGGTCTGGAGGATTTTGTGGGTTGCCCCGGAGGTGTGGCCTCATTTCGGGTGGTCATCGTCGACACTGAACTTCTACACCACCTCCGCCTCCAGCTAAGGGACCAATACTGTTCCAGTACCGGGTCTGACGTGGGGGCTGCGGTTTCCACTGCCAGGCTTGAGCGCCGCGGTCTCTGCCTTGAGTTTAGGCCTAAGCTCTGGATCCTGGAGGCCCGAACCCCCGCTGGGGGCCGAGGGCTCTGCACCTGCCAGGCCCTAAACCCACCACCCACGGTCAAGCCCCTTCGTTCCTCGAGACACTTCAAACTTCAGGGCTGCTAAAAACCAGGGTCAGTTCTTATGACAGGAAAACTCGAAGAGATTATTGAGATTCGATTGAGGCTTTGCCCCGGACTCAAACTCCCTAAACTAGAATCCTGAATAGTTCCCTCACAAAACCCTATCTCAATTATCAAAGTCGCTGCATTAAGGCTTGAAGCCAGACTTCAGCAATTTCTGGAATCTTCCTAAGGGATTTAGCTTAGGGTAGGAAAATTTGGAAACCATATTATTTAGTATAGATCCCTAGCATGGCAACTTAAATTTTAGACCCCAGTATACCCTCGAAGGACCGTAGTAACTTAAAGTAGAAGTTCCTTAACAAGAATCCAGATTCACTGAGAACAGGATTGGCCTTGGAGGTCTCGGATTGGCGGGCCTTGCCGAGCAGGCGGAGTGGGGGTATGAATCTTCATAGTATGTTATAACATGTCATAGGCCGTCATAATCTATAATAGTATGAGTGGGGACGAATCTAGCTGACCCTTGAGTTTAGGGTTTAGATTCACGAGATGATGCGAGGCCAGAATGCCGAATGCCTTAGGAGTGGTAGTAGCTCTCAGAAGCGCGCGCATGTGAACACCGCCCACTCCCACAAGCCGGAAATCGTGGGCTTTCCATGTTCGGGCTCCTTGATGCTCACACTTGGGGGTTTAGGGTTTAGGGTTTAGGGTTTAGGGGTCTGTGATGGGTTTGGGTTTCAAGCACCTTTCTGACTGTTCATACCCGCGCTGCTCAAGGCTCAAGTTCTGCAGTCTAGGTCTAGGTTGGTGACACTTTTCGCTCGTGTTACCTGTGAAGATGGCGAAGGGGTGGCTTCTGTCCTTCGGCTGCCTCGCTGCTGCACTGTACAGCAGCTGCCTGTTTGTGACACCCGCTTCCGAGTGGCGTAGTTGCTTGTCCTCATGATGGCAGCTGGGTCATTGGATGTTTTTGTCAGACGAGCTGGCTGTGTATTTTCTTCGGTTCAGCACATGTGCGGTAGGGGGATGTGCGTGCATCCTATGGTGATGCCTCTTGAGCGGTGTAGATCAAAGCCCTCGACTCCTAATATACTCTCATTCTGATATAGGGGCCTTCGTAAATGTTTCGGAGTTTTGGGTATACTATGCTATGTTTTGAGTGGAACGCCAAGGAATCGTACTGGTAAGTGTCAAGGCTTCTATATCAGGCTTTGCCTCACTCTGAGTTCTTCTGAGGTTCCCGCAACCGAAGCCTCGTGACGCGGTTTGGTGTCACGAAGGAAGTGCTCCAGGAGGGCGACGGCAAAAATTACCCAAAGCCCGCCGCCCGCAGATTTGCTGGGTGGAGGAACCACTTTAGGTTGACTGTTGAATCGAATAGAAGATGTATCGCCCTAAACCCTAAACCACTAAACCCTGATTAGTTGCAGCTTCCTCCGGGAACGGGGACCCCTGCGGCTGTGTGATCAGGAAAGGTGATACCGTGACCATGCACTACACGGGAACTTTGAGCAACGGCAAGAAGTTCGACTCCAGCCGTGACCGAGGCCTGTCATCTATATTGTAGTATACTGTATTATACTTTATTATGGTACATTTGGATGAGAACTACTACAGCACATTACAGTATATTGTATAATATCGTGATTTGTGCCGTATCGAAGCCATGTACGTAGGCATCCAGCCATGCACAAGGCCGAAGATCCCCCCCTGAATCCGGAATCCTAAGCCCACACTCCTAACCCTGAAACCCCAACCTGTAAGCCCTAAACCCTGAATCCTGAGCCGGTACGGCCTAAAGCCTAATGTAGGAACCTGATTAAGAAACCCTGGGCCTATAACACCAAAATAGTAGGATTCATATAAGGAACCCGAATAAAGGCCCAAGGTTTCTTAATCAGGTTCTACATTACTATAGTACCCTTGTAGATCCCTTATCTTACCCTTGTAGATACCTTACAGTAACCCTTATAGACCCCCTTTAAAGGAACCCCTTTTGACGTCGGATCTTCAGGGTTCAGCTGCAGCCTCCTTCGCACTGGACCGTGCCACGTTGGGACTTCAGGGTGTAGGGTTTAGGGTTTAGGGGTTTAGGGTTTAGGGTTTAGGGTAAAGGTTTATGCGATTTTATGCCTCATGCAATGTGGGACAGAGGCGAATGTCGTGCTTGATGTTGGGTAATGTGCCCTGACATAGTGCATAATGTTCCTATAGAGCCCTCTTGTACTTTTGCATACAGGATACACCGAGACCCTGTTCGAAGACCCCGTATGAAGCTGTAGCATCAGAAACCGTCGCCGGGAACCCCTATTCTAATTATAGTAACCCTTATAGAGCCCCTTAAAGGAGCCCCTATTCTAATTATAGTAACCGGGGCTTCTTGGGGGCTTAGCATCGCTTGGAAGCTTCGGAGGCCAGCCGTTCCGGACGCAAATCGGCGTGGGCCAGGCGTGTGCTCCGGAAGTTTCTTGTGATCACATATCTTGGTGTTGAGATATCAGCGATGATGTTGATGCCGTGGCAGGCCGTGGCAGGTCTAGGGGCTGCAACAATGACGACGACGATGATGGTTGAGATGATGATGATTATGATGATGATGTTGTTCACTCTGATGACGATAATCGTAGAGTTGATAATGTGCTGACGCCGATGATGAAGGTGCTGGCGGTGTTGGTGCGGATTATGGATATTGTCATGGCGGTGAATTTGACGAGGTGATAACGACAATGATGGGTGCGGATTGTAATGGCGACAACGATGTCGATGACAGCGATATCGAGGATGACGATGATGATTGTGGTGGTGGTGCTGATGATGGTCATGCTTTGCATGATGAGCTGACCACGATGCCGCTGCTGCCGCTGCCGCTGCTGACGCTGCTGCTGCTGCTGATGGTGCTTCTTTTGCTGCCGCTGACGATGCCAACACGGCCAACCGTGAGGGCGACACCGGGGATAATGACAGTTGTGGTGACGAGGATTCAGATGATGGCACGAAGCCCACCCCAAGCCTTGAACCCTAAATCTTTGAACCCACATGAAGTCCTATACCTCAAAACCCTAAACCATCCAGGTCATCCGTGGCTGGGACGAGGGCGTACCCACCATGAGCCTCGGGGAGCATCCTGGCATCATAGTGAAGGGACATGGTGGTGCTGGTGACCTGCTGGTGATGATGGCGCTGACGATGATGTTGATGATGTTTCTTTTGACGACGACGATGATGATGACAACGATGCTGATGTGATGGAGGGTATGACCATGGCGACGACGATGATGATGCCGCTGATGATGACGTTTATGAAGAAGAAGATGATGATGCCGACGATCGTGAAGACGGTGCTGATACTGTTGACGATGACGGGAGTACTGGCGACGGTGATGAGCGTGATCATGCATCATCATCATGTCGATGATAACGATGGTGCTTCTACTGGTTGGTGACGGGCCAGCTGGTAGTAGCAAGTCAACGTCGCAGTTCTTGGTTAGCCCTTACAGCAGTTTGCTCGTTTGTGTAAATGTTTTCAGAGTTTTCAGGTAGCGACTTCTTGTGGTCGTCAGGCCTTATCATTAATGTGGCCTTTGCCAATACTAGTCCTAGCAGCACCATTAAGGTTTGCTGTGTTTGCCAAGATGTCTCAGCAGCCGCTGCCGTCATCCAAACGTCTGGATCAGTGTAGTACACCGGGGCTTCCCTTGTCTTGAAAAAGCACGTACGTGACTACCCGCCCCGTGCGCAGAAGCTCCGGGAATGCTGAAGAGGTCAAGCTGAGGCAAACCTCAGGGGCGCATCGGCACGTGCCATAAACCCGGTACCTTGCGCTCTGAAGCCAAAAGCCCTGTGCCCTCCGGCCTAAACGTCCTAAACGCCGCAAACCCTAAAACCCTAAACCTTAAACCCTAACCCCTAAACCCTAAACCCTAACCCCTATACCCTAAAACCCTAAACCCAAAAACCCTAAAACCTTACAGAAGCCCTCGGCGATCCGAGTCTTTGCTGCGATGGCAAGGAAGGCGATCCTGCGCATGACCTCGGACTTCGGCTACGGCCCCCGGGGCGCCGGGAACGTCATCCCGCCGAATGCGGACCTCACGTTTGAGGTGCTATATGTTGTTAGTAGTATCAGGATTCGTGGTAATTATTGCTAGTTCTATTGTCTCCCAAGTGTGCATTTTACATTTGTCTGCCACTATTTATGTGCAGCAATTTTGATATCGTTTAGGGTTTTGGGAATTCCAGTGCCGTTAGGACGTTTATGGTTTGGGTTGCATGTTCTGAAAAGCAGCCGTCCAGCATCATGCTTCGCTTGCTGTTTCTTGGGATCGTGCATATGGGAAACGGAACCGACGGAACCCTCGATGATGCTGTCCCTTCCCCTTCTGCATCATAGTCGCATTGAATTGATTGTGTCTAGCAGCCTAGCAGGAGAAACATAGCTTTTCAGACCTTATGAAGCACGGGTCTGTGTCAGACCACATGCAGGTGGAGCTCTTGCGGATCAACTGAAGCTGCAAAATTTTGTGCGAATGGCAAGAAGCAGGGTCTAGGTTTGTGTGAGCCGTTGACCACAACGCTCAGTTAAAGGGTGATGTAGAGGATGTCCCGAAAAGTGTGGTGTTCTTGCCCGGTCGGAATGGCAAGGCTTGAGCCACCGTTCCGATCGGCTTAGTGATTGTGACGGGTTCCAGCAGAGATCCGTCTGTTCGGAAGCGCAGATCGAGATACAACCGAATCTTGACTCTCACCTTGCGGAGTGAGACAGAAAAAGGCGAGCAGGTCTCTAAAACAGGCTTGGTTTTTGATCCCCAAACGCATAAGTCACTCTGATGGTCTTACAACCAGGACGCTTAAACCTGTTCGGAGTTTTTCGACATCCCGAAAGAGCCTGGAGCCACGAGACATGCTCAGAGAGCTTTATCAGTAGAGCGTGGTTCCTATTGTGGGCAGTTCAGATACTGAGCCGGGTATAAAACACCTCACCGCACTTCGGAGTGGTCCCAAGCCTTCACATCCCGCAACAGAAAAGGCAGCCTTGCTGAGGTCGAGGGTCGAGGGGCGTGTGTGGCCGGACCAGCAAGTAGTAAGTTCAGTTCATGCGCGTTGCCATGGGCCTCGCAGGACTCTAAACCGACACCATCCAGCGAAAGCGGGGAAGCCTCAGGGGGTAGTGAACGTGGTTAGGTTTCTATGATTGCTGAACAGGGGTGCCGCAGTGCTTTCGGGCTTTGGGATTCAATGGTTTTCCGGATTTTAGGTTGGCTGTTTGCCGTATGGGGTGAGATGCGCTGTCCATGTTGCTCTTGGCAGGTCCAGAATGCACGGCCTTTTCCAGACATGGACAGCTGGGACGTGTGATGTGGCATGTATGTCAGCTTAAAGAGGAGACTAGACCCTTAATGATTTAATGGCAAGGTTGAAGTACCTCTTAGGGTGTGCAAGTCGCACCGGCATTAGAAAACACATTTTTGGTCATGGATTCTTGTGCTGTTGGAACATGCACTTTAAGGTATATTCTTCAATTGAGGGCTTCGTGAGCGTATTCGGTGGACGATCTCAATCAGGAAGTTTAGGACAAGGTGTTAAGATGGCTTCTCGAAACGAGCGAGGAGCAAACTCAACACAGTCCAAGCCGAAACCCAGCACCTTCCAGCATCCGGAAGCGACATATAGGGGTTCAGGAAAGTATAGGTTCTCGACCGTGTTAGCACCCCTAAACTTTAAACTCCCTAAACCCTATGCCCTTTAAACACCCCTTAACCCTAAGCCCTAAACCCTGTAAGCTCGCCACACCCCGAAATCCTTTCAACAAACTTACCTTGGGTTAGCAGGGAATGGAGGAATGGGGTACACTTATAACTACTATTACTACCATTCTTCGATTCCCTACTAGCCCAAGGTAAGCAAAGAGCAGCTCCGAGCCGACAGGACAACGGTTCGCTGCCACTTGGACCCGCCGAGCTGCTTTCGCATCCGCCTTTCTCGGACTTCGTCTGAGACGGAAGTAATACCCAGAGCCTCCAAAATCCTTTAATTACAATAAGGAATATGCCTTAGATTATGGTAGGATCCTTAATATGGTTTAAGGAATATTCTTTAATTAAGGGATATTGGAGTCTCTGGGTATGGGGTTTAGGGGTCTTACAGGGGTCTATAAGGGCTCCTGTAAAGGGATCTAGAAGGGTTCTATAGAGGGGTTTAGGGTTCAGGGTTTAGGGTTCAAGGACAGGTTTTAAGGTTTAGGTTCAGGGTTTAGGGTTCTGCTTGCAGTATCAGTGTCAAGAAAAGTGGCAACAAGAATCATGACCTGAAAGTCTGAGATCCTTAAAGCACTGAACCCTGAAAGCCCCTAAGCGATAGACCTAGTGCTTCGCGGCGTCCGGGGAAGTCTAGACACTTGCCCTCGAGGCAGCTTTAGGAGGCGCCCCCCTTTGCAAAGGGAAATTCCTATGACCCTAAACCCTTAAAGCCATGAAAGCCTTAAAGCCTTAACCCTAAACCCCAGGAAGGTCTAGGGTTTAGGGTTGAGGGATTAGGGAAACCCTTACTTAACCCTAAACCCCCTTAGCCTTAGCCCTAAACCCTCATTCCTAAACCCTACTTGGAGGGTCGGGGGACTTAGTAAGTAGGTAGGAAGTAGACTTATAAGTACCCGAAAAGGGACCCTAATGGGGTTATGGTACTTATAAGTCCCTAAAATAACCAGTTACTAAGTCTCCTAAACCCTAAACCCTTACAGAATCCCTATAGATCCCTTTAAAGGGGCCCTTAAGGAACTCCTTATAGTTACTAACCTTATAGTTACTAAGTCCCCCGACCCTCCAAGTAACCCCGAAGGCCACAAGGCGGCTGTGAATCTCCCGTCTGGAGCTTCCTGCAGTGGAAGACGCGGTGCACGAAAAAGGGCTTGAAGAATGAGGGTTTAGGGTTTAGGGTTCAGGGTTTAGGGTTTAGGGGGCCTTTAAGAACGAGGAATATCATGATTCCCGTCTTGTCCCGATCTTGGAACCTGTTCAAGTTATTTAGGCTGCCATATCACTCCAAGATGTCGTGGTACAGCACGGTATCCGAGTATGTGGCGACGGCGTGAAGCAACTATGTATGTAGGTCCATGTCCATGTGTGTGTGTGCGCGAAATATGTACTTGTGCGTTTAGGTGAATAAGTCGGTAAACAAGTAAGTCAAGAATTAAGAACTACAATACGTAGTTAATGATTCTCTCTCTCTCTCTACTATGTATATGTACATATCTCTATATAGACATATATATATATATATGTATATTTCCACATACGTATATATATATATATGGTATGTTTGTATACATATACATCTATAAACAACTTTTGTTCCATCCATTCATCCATCCATCCGTCCGTCCATGCATGCATACATACGATCAAAACAGTCCCTAAGATTGCAAGTGCCTGCATTCTTCCTGTGTTTATCTCTCTCTCTCTCTCTCTCCCTCCCTCTCCCTCTCTCTCTCTCTCTCTCTCTCTCTCTCTCTCTCTCCCTCCACTGCCTGCCCTGTTGGTGCACGTATGTACGTGTGTATGTATGTGCGGTGTTCACTTTGTTTGATTAGGTTTAGTTTGTTTATGTTGTGTCATGTTATGTTATGTACGGCATATATGTCGTGCATAACATTTTCGTCTTTTGTGTATGTATGTATGCATGCATGCACTTACAAACACATAGGTAGCCTTGTGCATACGTTTATGTGTGCCTGCAAGTCCGTGTGTGTTCTTCTTTGCATGCACGCACGCGGACATGCATATATACACATACATACATGCATGCATACTTATATTCATGCACACATGCATACATGCATACATACGCGAAGCTGCTTCTTTGTTGATTGGTTTATTGTTTGTTTATTCGCGTACATGCGTACATACTTACATACATACATACATAAATAGCATCCTGCATGCAGATGTGGTTTCTTGCCAGTACTGTGCCACCTTAATGTTGTGTTGTCGATTGTAGTTGTCACATGGTTTGTGGTTGTTGCTGCTACCGTTGCTGCTGCGGGTGCTGCTGCTGCTGCTGCCGCTGCTTCCCTTCAGGCTGTTCTTTTGCGATGATACTGTTGGTGCTGGTGCTCCCCTAAAGCCGATGATGACCACGAAATGATGATGATCGTTATCCGCATCCTGGCGTATTCGCGAGGTGAGCTGATCACGACCGTGTTGCAGGGAGCTAAGAGCAGGAAGTATTTGAGACCTGTGCTTTCAAAGCTTGTTTTTCCAGACGTGTCCTTCTAGTTGCTGGTTTGCTTGGGCCGGGTTTCTGAATTTTCTTTAGTAAAGGTTATCGGGATTTGGGTTGAGGTCAGCATATTGGTTTATGTTAAGTCATGAGCCACCTCCAAAACTCTATGCCATTTATCCAGCCCCCTCAACCCTCAACCCTAAACCCTAGACCCTAAACCCTAAGCCCTGAACCCTAAACCCTAAACCGCTCGGCACCGCTTGGTTCGGTCCAGAGGTTCTATCCCGTTGAGCTCGTGCCGGACTCGGGCCGTTTAGGGGTGATCTGCCTGGGAGGGGAAACTTGGAATTAGTTTGCGTTTAGGGTTTTTCGGGTGGAAGTTTAGCATAAATACAATCTGACCTTAAACCCGAAGTTTATAGCCCGGGGTCTTTGGGGCACGGATAAAAGCCGGGACACCCTCTGTGAAGGATTTTTCAATTTCCCTCAGAGGTGCAGACCATGAAGCTTTTTCGAGGCTTCTTTATTGCTCGGCGCCAGGGGTTGTGCTTCCGAATTCAGGAGTCGGGTATTCAGATTGGGGTCGGGGGCTTCAGGTCCGCCCTTGGCACGGGGTCTGAAGCTTCGGCTCAGTGAATCCACGAAAAGATTGAGGTTCCTCAAGTTTGGGTTTCGGGCCTTCGTTTACTTCAAATGTTCCGGGCTTGAGGAGCCGTGACCTGAATCCTAAGAGCGGCTTTGTGCCTTGTCCCGCAACGATGAGCTGCAAGGCCTCGTCGAGCTCAAGGCCTAGGCCCCTGAAGCCGCGAAGTCCAGACCACTGATCTGAATCTCTGAGATGTATGGGAGGTGTCAGCCTTCACAAAGTCACCAAACAACCCTAAACCCCAAACCTTAAGTCTTGCTGCATCAGGAGACAGGTCCAAGTCGAGAAATATCTCCTGGTAGTCCCGCTCCCTCTCTTTCTCTCTCTTTCTCTCTCTCTCTCTCTCTCTCTCCCCCTCTCTCTCTCTCTATATATATATATATATATACACAGATAGACAGATATAGATAGGTAGATAGACAGACAATGATAGACAGAAAGGTGGAAAGACAGATCGATGTAGGTATGCATACCACAATTTACTCCAAAACGCTGCTCTTTATGCAACTCACTGTCCATGCGCCCTTCCTGTACAGTAAAGCTTATTAGAACCCTGCCCAAACTCATTAAAGCCCATAAAGCGCTTTAGAGACACTTTCAACCACCTCTACATAGCTTAAACCCTAAACATTCAAGCTTAACACTACCACCCCAAATCCTAAACCCTAAACCCTGTAGCCCAAAGCCCGTAAACACTAAAGCCCCGAACCTAAACCCTAACCCCAAGCCCCCAAGCCCATAAACCCTAAAGCCATAAACCCCTTATATTACCCTTATGGATCCCTTATAGTAGTCCTTATAGAAACCCTGAAAGGAACCCTAAAATTCTTGTGTAACCACGAAGGTCAAGAGCCGGATGCAGGCGGCGGCCCTGACCTACGCGAGTGTCGATCCCGGGAAAGTCTTTTGGGATTTCGGGTGGAAGGAGGGTTTAGGGGTTAGGGTTTAGGGAGGAGGAGGTGGAGGAGCAGGAGCTGCAGCAGCAGCAGCAGCAGCAGCAGCAGCAGCAGCAGCAGCAGCACGTGAGCCTTTGCTCATACTTGTGCTGTGAAATCCTGGACCGAGAAGCAAATATTCGCCCCTCCAGTGCGGCACAGAGCAGTTTCTCTAGTGACGTCATTGGTAGCTTGTGCAGTAGTTGTAGCAGTGGCTACAACATAATGGGTGTAGTAAATCGTCGCGGTGGTGATGGTGCTGCTGCTCCTGCCGGTCGTTGTCCGCGCCGGTCGTTTCAATGTAGCATCACCAACACAACCAGGTTCGAGCTACGGCTACAAGGGCCTGGCCGACGGCATTCTTTGTATCCTCCGCGACGAGGGGGTGCAGGCTGGCAGAGAAACAAGTTGACATTGCTGCAAGAGGATGAGTTTTGTCGAATGCTTCTCTTGTACGTGGTGTGAGCCATTTGTGGGAAGAGAGCTGTGCTGCTCTCATAAAGGTCCAAGCTGCGGAAGCATCTCTGCTGCTTGCACTCCTCGACTGACAGGGGCTCTTCACCGGACTGCGGCCTGTGATTGTCCCGTGGTCAGCACTAAAGTAAAAGCCAGAAAGTTGGAATATGGTTTCAGGGTAGGATCCCCTATAGTTTACCTTAAAGGGTTTAGGATAATCATTTCCAACTTTCTGGCTTCTACTGTATGGCCCTGGGATGGGTTTGCTAATTCTTCGTGTCTCCTAGGGTTTACAGAACTACTGGCGTTGGGGACTTTCAGTTGGGTGTTCAGTTTGAGGCGTATGGCAGGAGAGAAGGGTAGCGGCCACGAACTGCTGATGGCAAAACCTACAGCACTCGAGAGGTGCAAGCTCTGCAGTCTATGATCTTCCCAAGGGAAGAGCCCTTCATGCCCTGTTCCTTCAGCCACTTCAGCCACTTTGAAGGACAGTCCTCCCGCAGGTCAGGAGTCGTCGCATGCTGGGATATTGCACTCCAGAACCTCAAACCCCTTTCAGGCTGCAGAGCTTTGCGGAAAGGAGCGAGGCAAGAAGCAAAAAGACATGCAGAAATCTCGCTCAACTCGTTCTAGCTACTGGCTCCGGAAACCTCGAAACCCCAAACCGCAAACTCCGACTCCGAAAATCCCACCCTAAAATCCTCAAACCTCAACCACCCCTCATCTCTAAACACCCATGA